CACACTCCAAGCATCTGTGATTGAATTATTCGAAGAAAAAGGTTTGTTATTTATCCTGTCTGTTGCTGAATCAAGCATATATGGTTAGAAGATCTCTCTGATTGGCAATTTTTTGATCTTTAGAAACCTGGACGATTGGAGGTTTGGCAGAAAGGTTGAATCTGACCAATGATTTATCCTTGGTCAGGAATGGATTATACTTTTGGTCTAATCATGAGGTTTTGAAAGAAATTGAATCAGGTATATGGAGGCTTTTTGAAAATGTGGAAAGCTTTAATGCCTCGGCTGCTGGTACTAGTCGACATGGTCAGTCTGGTTTGGAATGGTTTATAAGCGGATGTATAACTTCTTATTGATAGCTTTCTTGCGCTTGGGTCTATGCGTGTACAGTGATCGAGGAGCCTTCAAAGCCGGCGGATAACAGTCAAAGTAAAATTGAAAAGGTTGGTTTTCATAGTCAACGATCAAAGATGTTAATGATAAGTCAGAACATTGAGTCTAATAAACTATCTTTTCCTACATCAACTCACACAACTCCAGATGCGCGTATTCAGCGCTTTTATTGTGGGAATGGTGAGTGAACAGAACACCTGCATTCTGTTCCTACTTTTCTTTTCCTTCATTTCATTGGTATCCATTCTGATTGTCTTTGAACTTGTTTAATTTCAGTTAACGAATTTAGGCGGTTTGCCACTTGAGAGGATCTTCGTCACCCTTAATACTGTCATGCCTACATTCAAAGGTACAACAAGAGATGAGCTATCAAGCTTATTAGAAATGATGCAACGTGAAGGAACGGTGATTCCAATGGGTGATCTATGGAAGATTGTGAAATGAGTCTGAAACTGATCATTGAGTGGAGTGGACGTTGAGGAAAATCAGGGTGAAAGTATGTAGTTTGTTTAATCTAGTTTTCTGAGATGTGGAAATTCTAGAAGAAGTTTCTTTTTACATCCATTAGGAGAGGTTGTTAATTTTGGGTTGTAATATGTGAAAATGACTAATTCACTTATAATTTTGATTTTAGATCAAGGCCTTGCAAAGGATCAAAGAGGAAAACATAAGATAGAGAGCACATACTATGCAGTAGGGCTTTAACTTAATTCCCACATTTTAACTTCAATATCATTATGCTTGGTAAAGAAAAATGCATGTTTACCTAATCTGTCTCTAAAGACCAAGAGAAAGCAAACACAAGAGATGGCTGAGTGTATTGCTGAGTGTATTGTATGTTCCTGGTCATCATCAATACCATCATTGAAAGAAGTTTGATACTCTGGATCAAAGGCTCTTTTGGATTCATGTAGAATGTTTGGAGCAAGCATTTGAAATGAATTTGGATGTACCCATTTTGTCAAAATCAATACAATATCATGATACATGTTTGAAGAGCTTTTCAATTTCTTTTGAATTATTCATGTCAATGAGATTTATTCTTGTTTTCGTTGGTGCAAAAGGCCTTCTTTTGATTGTTGGGCACATAAATCCAACGCGCTCTTCAACAAGCAATACATAAGCTGTGAAACCAGTTATGTGTTTGAGTTTTTTTGATAGGTTGTCAAAGCCGCAATCAGGTATTGCTGTGGAGAGTGTTCGAAGCTCCGACCAGCTCGGTAGCCTCGAGAGCCTTGAGGCTCCCCACTTTCTCATCACTATCAACGCAGTCGTATAGTGTCTGCCCAGATTGTACATTTATCCCACCCCTTCCAAAAGGGTTAAAGAAATTTATATATATGATATACCACATCCAGATCACCAGCAAAAGTCCTTCCAAAACAAATGCCTGCCGACTCATGCAATGATGACATTTGGTTGTAAGCACCGGAGAGTTTTCACTACCTTCAACCTCAGATTCACATTTATTTTGGTCTTGAGTAGGCTTTCTCAGACGTCAGCATTGTCGTATTGCCAAAGTAAAATTTTGGTTTCATCTAATTCAAACAATTCATTCGTCTATCTTGAACTAAATTTCTTGAAATCCTTTCTGATTCCTTCTCCAATCTTTGTTTGATTTTAGGATGGATTTCCAACTGCTTTGAACGGGTTCCATCAACTGTTACCTTGTGGTGTAGATCAACACAATGTTTTGATGGGATTGTAATCTCATGTCTATGTGGCGGCTGGGCGCCAATTGCCTAGTATATAATAAACTAAAGGATGGTCAACAGCTCCTCAATACAAAGGTAATGAGGGATTATTGCAAAGGATTGCACGTGAGTGTAACACGTGAGACGCAATGATGCTTTCACATCATTTTGTTGGGGCTACGTCACATAGCACTGTAACCAATTCTCGTATCTAGAAGATTCCTCCTAGTGCCCAAGAATTTGATTGACATATACTTCATAATTAAAACATGATATACATAGTACCTTACAAAGAAACATTTTTTTTTTCTTGCTAAACCAGTTCTTCCGTAACAGATCCTCTATTCATCATACAACACACACTTATATTTGAACCTTTTTTTGGATTGTATACTTATGAATGTGAATCAAATACCAAAGAATGCTATAGTTAGGGTCCTGCTAATTTCCTTGACTTGAGGTGGCTGGATAGGTGCTTGAGAAAGAGCACCGGTCTTCTGGCGTCTTCCTGATGTTTTACCCAGATAGGCACGGAAAAAGGTGC